TTTTTATTTTTCAAAAACTTAAAAACAGTAGAAGTAGATGTAATGTAACTAGAGACGCGCCATGCAGCGCTAATACCTAACTCAATATTTTCATCACTTTATAATCATCATTTACCATTTCATGTAAATTCATCTTCATCTATTTGTAATTAAAACCAATAAAGGTTTATGAATCATCAAATTGGCGGTCTAAAGGTAAGTGGAACATTTTCCACTATTCATATTGAAAACAGGAATTCATTTAGATTGAACATCCTGGATCCCGATTAGAATTTAATAAATTATTTGCGATGCATGCGATTACACTTAACTCCTCCAAAAATTAAAATGTAGGGAAATAATTTTCACACGTTCTATTAACAATTATAATTCTTCAATTTTTTTCTTTTAAATCGTTAACTTAACAATAAAATGTTTAATTTTTGTGAAAAAGGTGAGAATAACATAAAAATAGAATGAACAGTTTCTGTCATTTCAAAGTAGTAAAAAAAAAAACTTTTAAAACACGCAATAAAAATTCAATCGTTTGCAACTCTCCTTCTTCTTTGAACAAAAAATCATCAAATCTATAAACTTTAGATTTTTTTCAAGCTGAAATTAAATTAAATTGAGTGATAATTGTAAGGGCACACATACCAGGATCGGCTATACTGTGTCACAAGTATGGCATAATATGATTTGAAAATCAGAGCTTTTAAACTAAGTATGGATCAAAAACAAATAAATAAGATATACTAACTAATTGGATTTTATCTGTATCTTAAAATTCTCTTTACATTTGAATTAATTTCTCTCAATTTTTTTCTTCTATTCACCAGCAGTTTGAATGATTAATATTGTCCATTTATTTTAAGAATGTTGTATCTTTACTCCTAGGCAATTTTGCCGCTAATAAAAATAGGCAAAAAATTTATAGTATGAAATAGGAAATTTTAACGTTGTTTTTCTGAGTATACTCTGAGGTCAATTGTTTTTAATTCACCAAGTTTGATATTTGAAATAAAAGTTTAAAATCCAATATTTTTTCACATAATTAATTTTAAATATCATTTCAAAATGTTAAAATATCTACTAAAATAAGGAAAAGATAAGTTCTTTTGTAAGGTATCCAACAAGATAAAAATCGACAATTTCGTAGAAAATCTCGATTTTTTTTTCTTATCAATATTTAAATTTTAGCTCGTTAGCTCGCCAAAACCCTTTAAAATTTTTATCTCCGATCTTTCGAAATGAAGTTAGTTATTTTTTCGTATGCTGACAGACGAAACCGGAACTAAACGTACAAAAACGAAACTAAAATGTTTTTTTGTTTTGCTATAATTATTGGAGCCCTTATTAATTTGACGAAATGATGTTTATAGCAAAAATAAAATTTTTAATTTTCGAATTATTTAAATGCATTTTAAATGCATTTTCTAAAGAACGTAGAGCTTTAAAAAATTTCTTAAAGCAAATGCACAATACAAAAAATGTTTGAAGATTTTGAAAGTAAATTTTGTATAATATTAGAAATTTTTTGAACTAAAATCTAAGGTCTAAGTTTCAATTTGTTATTTTTATGAAGCTTTAGAATATTTCTTTGAAATTTCAATAGCATTTAGAAAAAACTATGAAATACAACTAAATACATTGTTTAGAAATTTAATATTAAACAATGTAGTTAGTTCTATTTCATTGTGTTTTTAAAAAAATTTTAAGATTTTTAGTTTAAGTAACAGGTAATCACACTATTGATTTAAAAAAAATATATTTTGAAATTTATGCATTACGGTTTGCTGTAGAGCTGTTAGCATGACATGAAAAATTATAGTTTTTAAGCTCTAATTTGCTCTTATTTTCAAAAATACTTTATAAATTTTTAAACTTTGCACTAAATTTATAATTTTAGTACCCCTGATTACCTAACATAAAATTGAAATTTTAATTGAGCCTTTTTAACAAAAATTGTGTGAAAACTAGTCGGATACCTAAATAATTCAAATGTTTCTCAGAAATATTGCATTAAAAGTGCCATTAATTTAAGAGTTTCTCATTAAAACTGCATCAAAAGTGCCATTAATTTAAAAGTATCTCAGAAAAACTGCAATAAAAGTGCCATCCAAATAGCATTTAATTTCAAAGACTGGTAATTTATGTACAAAAAAGTCAGTAGTAAAACATATACCATAACAAGAGGAATAACAAACTATTTGTGAGGTAAAACATCAAATTTAAATTGAGATCCTGTGGACACAATGTCTAGAAAAATGGTTTAAAACAGGGCTGTCCAACTGCAAAGAGCCCACTGGCCAGAATTCCGGTCAATGATCATCTAGCGGGCCACGGTTTGAAAAAGTTGAACAATAACCTCTTACCTCTTATACAATAACAATTACTAGTTGAATTGTTAATTATAAAACAATGGAACAGAAGGATTGTGAAAGAATTTGCTTACATTTTAATGGGAAAACTAAGGCCGATTAGCCTGAAAACGAAGTTGGCGGGCCGCACAATATGTGTTGGAGGGCAGCTCGCGGCCCGCGGGGGCCTCCAGTAGGACAGCCCTGGTTTAAAACAAATTGGCCTCGAGCAATAACATCATTCCAAAAGATACTGAATAGATTTAATCGTTATTTTAATGGAATGAACTACTAAAAATGTGTTTGTTTAATCTAATAACATAAAGTCACTGAAAAGGACAAGCTTTAATAATAAATAAATAAAAAATTGAAATTGTTCTTAACTTTATTAATTGCTTTGGTATGATATATGTCTCCCAGTTTTGTGCTTGATTTCGCAGCGTTATTCATTACTGATTGATTTATTGCTAGTTAAATTTTTTTCCACCCCGTTTCAACCGATATTCAGCCAGTCAATGGAATAAACTAACCTCTTGACATCAATGGGTTCCTTTTTCATTTCAGACATCTTGAAATTTTGAACTAATGTTTTGGCACAGTCTTTGAAAATACTCATGAGCTATAAATGGAATGGAGACACATATTAATCAAGAAATATTTCAATGAAATTTTTATGCAACTTTATAATTCACTTTAAATTATTTTTCTTCATAAAGCTTACACAATTGAATTTAATCGTTTTTAAAGGCGGAAAACAGTAAGACTGATTCGAGACAAATTTTTAAAAAATGTCATATTCTACAGTCATAAAATGTGGTTTGATATCAAAATTATTTTTGTTAATATTTATTACAAACTGACTCAAATTATACATTATGAATTTACTTGACTTTCGTTGAAAATTATTTTTTCAAAGAACGTCTTTTTTAAAATTCGATTTCTCAGGCCGATTAGACTTAGGCTGCGAAAAAAATAATTACATTTTTAAAAAGATGTAAAAATTTGTATAGCTTATAATTCAAAGATTCTTTTTACTATTATTAAATAAAATCATAAAAATTATTAAAAGTTATTTTTTGCATGATATTATATTCAGTTAAAAAAGTTTTATAATTTTGAGCAAAAATTTTTCTATTCGGTTAAAAGGTTCCCGAGATATGACGAAATACACAAAAAGTAAAGTAAGCATTAAAGAGTTCAAATTTCTGCCCGCTCTCCTGAAAAAAGTATTGGAATCATATTTCCCAGATTGCAGCTACCCCCTATATTTTGGGGGTCAAGAATCTAAATCCGTCCATAAAAAGGTATGTTTATTCAGAGAAGTAAGTTTTTGTGTCTGCTTTCGTAACTAAAATATCGTTTGTACTAATTAATTATCATAATTGAAGTTACCCCCTAGCGCTAGAACCATTAAGATTGAGTCAAAGAACATAAAGTGTAATCCCTTTATTTATTTGTTTATTTATTTATTTATTTACGCACTGTAAAACAATTTTTTGAGGACAATATTTATTAGTATGCATATTTTATCTGGTCAATGTTTATTTGAATTTTTCAGAAACTATTTTCAAATTATCCACTCAATACCAAGCTCTCTTCTCACGCACGTGGCTTGTTTCATTTCTTTTATCAGAAAGGTAAATACATGTACAGTATACTCTCGATAAAGTTGAAGGGAAGCTAAAAAATATTTCGAGATAGCGAGTTTACAAGATAACAAGTTCAGAACTAAATATGTTCCAAAAATAAGTTGAAAAATATATTCCAAAATATTACTTTAAAAAGTAGAGACATGAAACTTCATGTAGTTTCATGTAGAGTCATGTAACTATTATTAAATATGTATGTAATGATTGTTGACTATAAGTCGAAATGCAACAAAGATAATTTTATTTTTAAAAGTAAGACAAAAATAATTATGCTTTAAATAGAAAATAATAGGTTTACTATGAACTTGCAATGTGATTTGTGAAAAACTTCATTTTCTATTTCGAAAAAAATTCGACATAGCGAGGTTTTGAGAAGGATACCCTTCGAAATAGGAATACAAATTAACATTAGGTGGATATGCAATGCCAAAGAGAAAAATATTTTTTTTTGTCATTTAATATATTGTTATTTGTTATTTAATTTGTTATTTAATATAATCTATATATATATTTCTCTCACACGGCGACAAAAAAAAGCCTCATTACAACTCCCCGAATGGCAACGCTAGAAAATCGACCAATGATTGAAACTAAAAATGTCACATGACAAATCTAGCTGAGATGGCTCAACATATAGCGCTTTTAAAAACGGAAACTGAAATGACCAGAGAGAGCATAAGCTAGGCAGAAGTTAGTAGTCTTTGTCGATAGATCTCTATTTTAGTATTTTGTCGAAAGCACTTTTTTGCACGAATTTATATATTACGAATTTATTTCACGATTTTTGATTTATATCACGAATTTATTTGTTTTACTAGAATTTATTTGTTTATGCAGATTTTTCCATTGCAATTCACTTTTTTTAATTTTTAATAGACTTAATTATAGCCAAAATTTTAACCTTTTTAAAGAGATATCAGTTTTAGAAATTTTATCTTAAGATTTTATACTATAGCACATTTCTCTTACATTCCATTTTATTTGAGATTTATATTTGAATTCAAATTTATT